TAGCCTTTCCAAACTGCTTACAACGTAAGCTGGTCTCCCTTCGATTTAGGGTGATATCTTTGGCGTCACTTATATGGCATATCGCTGGAAAATCAGCGGTGTCAGTTATGAACCGAATCGTTATGAATTACTTCGAATAGCTGAATTCGTGTTCTAATCGTCTCAAATTCAGGACTTTTACGCTGTCGAGAGATTTTATTTTCAAGGCTTCTTTCAGACCTTTGTCTGAAACGCATTTCAAGTAGAATTTCACGATGAAGACTAGCTTTGTCCCCACGTGTTCGTTATTCAGCCGGCAATTGTAGAGCTGTCAAGGTGGTTATTTCTGGCAATTGGCTGCTTTTCCATCTCTAGTTCGTAACCTTTGTTTTGTTTACCCCTAAAATTCTTGTAAAGCTTACCAGCCACTCTTTGTGACCTCTCGTTACTGGACAGAAACGATATCATCGTTTGCTGCCATTTCATCGTGGAAACTGGACAACTAAACGACACCACATTTGAACATGCATAGAACTGACACATGTCATGAGATTTAGCAGAAAGCCCGCGAAAAATCAATCTTGCTTCGAAATTCGAAAGGTACCAGTCAGTGTTAGCTAACAAAAGCAGACGTAGATCTATAATAGTGCACACTTTTGGCTTGTTATTACACTTTCTTAGCAGATTAGCTCACCATAAATGCGTATTTTTTAAGGGTTCTGAGCGTTTGCAGGCGGTAATAAGTGCTCTTGCAAGCGGTAAATTTTACCGGTTACCGCCTGATAAGGAGAACCCTGATTAATAATGATATGATGTCCTGTGAGTCACATGCACAACTATAACACTAGGTTTTCCTGCAAAGCAAGCTATGCTATCCCAAAAGTCAGTACTAATTATGGAATATTCAACACAAGGTTCCAGGGTGCTAAGATTTGGAATGAAGTCCACTCTTATTGGAAAATACTATTTGCAGATTTTTTTGAAACTCTCTATTTTTTCTGGCTTTCTTTGTCTAACACTTGCATCCCTATTTTTCTATTTGTGATTTTTTCTCTTGCTTTTTTGTTTATTTATTAATTTTTTCCTGCTTTCTGTGTTTTTTGTAGGTGAGTGTGTGCAGGAGTGGTATATATCCCTAATATTTATTAGTCAATCACCTAGGTGTGTCTGCTCCATCTTTCTAGCCCTTTTGGTTATTAAGGGGCTATTAAGGGCAGCCTTTACTCTCTATTAGTAAAAATTTCTGTAGTTTTACTCGTAACTGTTGTTGTTGTTGTTGTTGATACTTGAAATGTGTTTTGTGAAAGTGAGTTGGTCCAAATGACTTTTGGAGTGCAACTTCTCACAGTGATGACACTAGTTTAATTTGGGAAGGTAATGTTTTCAAAACAGGTAGCTCTGGAACTCTTAAATTCTTCAAATAGTGCTTTTCATTTTTAATGTTTCCCTTTTTTGAAAAAAAAAAACATGTTTCAGTTGGCCTGACATCAGGGCTACAAACTAAGTCCAAAAAGGTTGTGACAGCCTAATAACAGGCAGGTATGGGATAAAATTGGTATGTTGTTCTAGAATATTACCTTCCCAGTGGTAATATGTCAACAATCTAATGGTTGATTGTCATACAAAGTTAAGGGGGGCTTTGGATTTGGGGCGTAGTTTACTTTTGAATTTTCTTTGTAGGAATTTAGTCTTAAAGTAAATTTTCTATATTTCACCAGTTGTATTTTTTGATAATTACAAGTAATTTTAGTTTAATGTTAAAAAGTTACTTTTCCAGAATTTGTTATTGTCTGTCTAACATTCCTTCCATGTGAGGAGATAATTTTCCACTGGCAAGCTAAAAAGGCAATTGGGATTGGTGGTTGAGGTACATTACTATTGATTAAATTCTTCTCCTTGGTTTGTTGTTGTCTCTTTACCACCTACTTTCTTTTGGAGCCACTTCAAAGCCTTTTAAACAACTTTTTGATTATTGCTTCATTTCCAAAAAGAAATTATCAAAGAAAACCCTTCAGTTTAAGTCAGATTCATAAAAAATATTTGGGATCTAAAGAAAGACAGATTCTCCTGGATGGCGAAGTGATTATTGTCTTAAGTATAGAATCTTCATCACTTACTGCTTCAGATACTGAGAAAAAAATCATTGTTCCTAATGTATTTTATTTGCCAGCCATATAAGGAACATTCGGAATTTGAGCAACTACCTCATTAACCTTGATATTATTCAAAATTTAAATCGCACCGCTTTGCAGCGATTTTTCCAGTTTTTATAAAATTGATATACAATTCCTCTAATACTGGCATACTAGTTATGCCTTCCAAGTCGGCCATCTGTGAATTATTCTTCACCAATCACAGAAAAACATAACTTCACTATTTGTTATTCTTTATAACATATTCTACACTATAAACTGTTTCTAACAGAGTCTCCATATTTAGGATCCTTTTGATTTCAGAGGTGTCGAGAACCTTTCCTTCTAGTTATTGCGGAGGAAGCAAAAAGAAGCACATGGAACAAAGTCTTTTAAAACATGTAAGCGTGCGCATCATCGCTCTCTTCCATAAAATTGTGCATGTTTATTTTACACGTTCCTTGGGAGTTCTTGGCAAAAGGAAGAAATTGCGGCTTTCGTACCCTTTCGACCTATTGGACATCGCCACTGTTTGCAAAGTGCCTAAGACATCATT